TGCAGACCCCGAGCCCACCTCAGTGCCCGGTCCCAGCAGCACCCCGTACCCACCGCGCACGGTCAGGAGGACGGGGCCCGCGCGGGCTGTTCCCGCCGCGCAGCTGTAGGTCCCAGCATCCAAGGAGCCACAGCGCCGCAGCTGGAGAAGGCGCCGCGCGCCGAGGGCCTGGAGCCTGAGCCGGGGGCTGGGGATGAGCGGGCGCCCGTCCTAGGAATGGGGGTGGCAGAGGGTCCGGATGAACTCAGCTGGGCACCGGCGACCGCGGCCCTGGTGGGCGGTGGCGCCCTCAGTTGATGCCAAGCAGTTTGGAGGCGTGTTTATGTTAGTCTGCGTCCCCCTGTCTGGGGTGGAGCCGTCCTGCGCTTGCGAGCCGCGCTAGGAGCCTCATTGGGAAGGTGTCACCCTTTAGGGGACATTAAGGTTGAGAAGGGGCTCCACAGGCGCGGGAAGCCCGGGGTCATGTACCAACCACATTGGCCATGAGCATGGATTCTCGAATTAGACAAACCTGGATTCAAATATGGGCTCGGCCCCTTTTGTCTTCCCCTGGGGGCCGGGCCTGGGCAATACTTTACCCCACAGAGCCCTGGTCTCCTTGGAGATAACAAGACCTACCTGAAAGAGTTGTAGAGATTAGAGGATTAAGTGTACAGCACAGCCGAGCACAGTGGCAGGCACATCCACTCAGTGTTAGTTTGGGGCATTATTATTATTGTGGTGCCAGGGTAGGCTGGGCTGGGGCTGGGCTCTGACCTTCTCCCAGGTAACATCAGCCAAGGCCTGGGAAAGCTCACACTCGAAGGTAGCTGTGTCGCCCTCGGTCACCTCTAGGTCCTGTGGCACCTGCACAAAGGTCACTGGGGCCTCTGGGATGGGAAGAGGACAGTGCAGAGGGAACAGGGGTGAGGGCCTGGCTCCCAGGGACATGGAGAACACACAGGGCACAAGGGGTTAGTGGTGAACACATTTAGGCAAGGTGAGCAGTGGAGGTCACCAGTGGGGATGTGTTAGGACAAGTAGACGATGCTGGTCGGTGGAGGACACAGTGGAGTTACAGTGGTTAATGGGGCAGGAGTAGCCAGCTGGTGGTCACACTTTAAGGTGGTCAGTGTGGGTCATGCTGGTGCTAGAGGGACTGGGGGGAACTAGAGCAGAGATGCCAGTGGAGTCACCCACAGACAGGCATGGTCTGTGATGAACAGGAGACACTGGACAATGGGGGTACAATGTATTCAGAGTAGCAATGGGGGGATACACTGTGCTAGAAACAAACATGGGGGACACAGACAGAGGGTCATTGGGATTTGAGTGGTCAGAAGGGCACACTCAGGTAGGCAGACGGGCACAGCAGGCAGGTGTGGTCAGAGGGGTCACACTCAGTGTGGTGAGTGGGGCCATGGTCAGGCACAGGTAGACAATAGGGACCAGACTGGCACAGCCTGCTTATAGTGGCTCACAGTGGCCCAGTCAGTGGTTTGCAGGGACTGGAGGGCCAGTGGAGCCACACTCAGGCAGGGCAGTCGCTGGGGCCACACAGGGCCAAAGGGTTGGGGGAGCCACACTCTGGCAGAGAGGTCAGTGGGGGCCACACAGGTAGTGGGATCAGTAGGGTCACACCCAGGCTGGTCAGCAGGCAGCAGTGTCCCGGAGGCCGCACCTCTCACAGTGAGTCTGGCTGCACAGCGCAGGGAGTCCGCCGTGAAGGAGATGCAGCCGGAGTCGGCCAGGCCCAAGCCACTGAGTGCCAGGTGGTAGGTGCGGCCCTCTGTGTGAATGCAGCACTGGGGTCCCGGGCGCAGCCGGACTCCACCCCGGGCCCATTCCCCCATCACATCCTCCTGGGACAGCTCCAGCTGGAAGGTGGCGCTGCCCCCCTCGATGATGGTCACACCCTCCAGAGGCCGCAACACCCTTAGCTGGCTTGCTGGTGGGGGGAGATGGGGAGAGAAGGAGGATGAGGGCTCCAGCTCTGGGCATGGGTTTTGGGGGTCTCACACACCCTTTGGTCCTACCTGCACCACCCCAAAGACCTAACCTATGAAGGGCCTATCAGATGAAGCTCAGAACCAGGATGCAGGAAGAAGGGAGCACAGCTCACCAGCCTTAGGGGGAGAGCGGAGCTTACTGGGGTTAGGAGAAGGGGGTGAGGTGTGGTTAGAAGGCTGAGGAGTTTGGGTGAGGGCTGCTGTGACCCTCACTCAGAAGCAGCACAGAATTCCGAGTCAGACACACCAAGGTTGGACCCTAGCTCTGCCACGTAGTTGTGCACTGTGTGACCTTTGACAAACTGCTTGACCTCTCTGGGCCTTAGTTTCTCCAATTATACAAGGGAAATAGCATTGAGATATGGGTTTAATGTGATTAAATGAATGAAATAAATTAGAAAAGAATATGTATCACCAACAAGAACCATTTTGTGGGCATTTTTCATGTTATCTCATTGAATATTCCCAAAGACTCTTGAAGTAGGAATCAGCCTCATTTTTAAGACTTGGCTCAGAGTGAGTAAGTACTTTGCATGAAGTCACACAATTCATAGAGGGCTCCAGTTTGGGGGATGGGGGTGCTATTTGCCGGCCACTCCTGCTTCTGAAATGGACCCACGTATCCTGGGGCCTGTGACTAAAGGATAAACACCGCTAGTCTTTCTGGAGGATAATATTTATGTTCATAGCAAAGCCAACTTGGACATGTGAAATGGAATGCAAAATCCACATGGACTTCTAAGGTAAATAGAAAACTTTAGAAAAAGGAAAGTTTTGCTTCTGGCAGGCCACTTCAGGTCACAGTCCTGGAGGTCAGCCAGGGCTGACTGGCCTCAGAAGCCAGGGGCACTTTGGTGGGGGCCTGAGGGGCCCTGGGCCAGCCAGGAAAGGCTGTGCCATAGGGCGGGCAATTCGTTAGGAGAGGACAGGGCACTCACGCCTTACGCTGAGCCTGGCCAGGGTGCGATCGTGGTGGCTCTCACAGCCGTAGGTGCCT